TCCATCGGGGGAAAAAATGCGGACTTGACAACCCTGCATCCAACACGAGCTGCAGGAGTCAGGGTTGACTGATCACAGGTTGAGAGGAGAGATGGCTGACAGACCATGCTGGAGGATTTGCTGCTCAACAGATCCTGAGCTCATTGACAAATATCTGATCTTCTTTACACGGAGCGCACGTGATCGCAAAATCGAAAGTGAAGAGCGAGCGCTCATCCAAAAGAGATTATATTCTCCGCAAATTGATAGACAAATATCTGATCTTCTTTACACGGAGCGCACGTGATCGCAAAATCGAAAGTGAAGAGCGAGCGCTCATCCAAAAGAGATTATATTCTCCGCAAATTGATAGCGGCTCCCTGATGCGCGAAAATTATATGCAATATTAGAATGTTTGCGAGAGTAGGCAGGACTGGACACTGTCCTCTAATACAAAATACACACTAATGGCGACTGTAGAAAGCAAAAGCGGAATCCCGGACATTTTGGGCGATTTAGAAATATTTAAGCAGTGATAAAGGCATTGCATTATAAATATACTTTGTTTTAATGAAAATTATAATAAGAACTCAGATAAACCATATATTGCCGTAGTCGTGTGTTTATTTGTCATGTTGAATCAATGAAAGCAGTTGAATCTTCTGTTTATTCAGCTGCAGCGATTTTCAGCATTTTCTGGGTTTCTTCTGCGAGGCGTATTTGGAGTTTCAGCGCGAGAGCGCCCTCTGGCCTTCGGATGGAGATTTACTGCTGATCACAGAACCGTGCTTCACTGAAAGATACGCATGACAATCGCAGCTTCTGTCGAATCGCGATCTCGATTCCATTTCGATTTATCGTGCAGCCCTACACTATATTGCCTGTTTTTTGCGCTATTTCGCCAACAAAAATAATTCTAAGCACAGCACTGTTTTGCGTCTCTGAGCAACATAGGGCGTTTCGTTCCAGAATGAATCACCCGTTTAAATGATTTGGTTCAATTGCAATGTCTCACTTATTAACAGTGAATTACTGCCACCTACTGGCGGATTTAATTTCACATGTAAAGTATCTTTTGTTTTTCATTTTGAAAATAATTGTAACTATCATTATTCAATGTTTTATGTTTAAAATAACAAAATATAATTTTGACTCAAAAGATGATGCACACTTTTAGGGGGGAAAAAAAGGCTTTACAAAGGTAAAAATGCCCATAAAATGTAAAAATCAATTTAAACTTATTGGAACAGATTAATTTCTATCACTGCTGTGAACTGAGCAGTACACAGAATATGAAGGATATCAAAAACAAGTTGTACACACACACACACAAGTACGTACAGAGACATTTAAGAGGGTTTGTTCTCCAAATAACTATTCTCCAATTTCATGTTGGAGAAAAATGTGTTTAGAAATTGTGTATGGTCTCTTGTTCATTTTCCAAATTACCTTCCTGTCCACTGTTTTTTGCCTCTCACAAAAGCCACAAAGCCTTCCAAGAAGACAGAGAAGGCTTATGTCATGCTTGAGCTTTAGTTAGGCTGAAACTTGAAAGTTAAGTTGCACGACATAAACGCAATGTTTAGGTATTATTATTTTTATTACTATTATTTTGATTTATACCTTAGTTTTAGTTTGTACTGTATATATATATATTTGCATAACGCCGCCCAAAACGGAGTCTAGCCCAGGGTCGTCACATTCGTCTCCTTCGTCGAATCTGCTGGTCGCACCGTTCTCAAGCCCCCGGCCTCTGCACAGACTGTAAGTACGTTTTTTTATATTTAAAGAATTTGCCACTGACGATTCAAACGCGAGTTTTGAGCAGTGTAGAGTACGGTTTGTTGTTTGTCATTTCTCTGATCACAAATGCAGACATGGTTTTATGTTTACGCTGCGTGACGCAACGCAATGCGTAAAAAGACAATATAAGTTATTATCCATAACTATGTCCCCACTGGATGCAATGAATGCCTCGCTTTTCAGACTGATGAGCTTTGTAAAAATCGATGCATTTCAGAAAGGCGGAGCATAGAGTACACACCAAATACACAAAATAATGTTATTTTTAGCAGCATCATATGACCCCTTTAAAATGATGTGAAATAGATTTTTATATTTCTTGATTTATGCTAACTTTGATTTATTTTAGGTTGTAATATTTACCTTTTTTAAAGTAATGTGAAATTGATTTTTGTATTTTTATTTATTTTACTCAGCTGGCCAATCAGAGCAGACTGCGCTTGTCGGAAGGAGGGACTTTGTAGAAAACGAAGCGTTTGAGAGAGGCGGGGCATAGAGGACCTACAATAATGTACAGTATTTGAAAAATAATGTGTTTTTTGAACATTAAAGCATGTCAACATATTCTGTTACACCAAATACACAAAATAATGATCTTTAAAAAAGCATCATATGACCCCTTTAACTAAAAAATATTATAAAACTATCAGTTTTCATAAATGAAATTAGGCTAGAATAAAATAAAATATAACGATTTGACGAAACGTGTATACAAAATATAAGAAGAAGAAGGAGAGAGAAAAAGGAACGTGCAATCACAGACATGCAGGACCTTTATATCACTCAAGGATTTTGACAATAGAACACAAGTGGACCGTTTTAATTGCCTTTCTGTTTGTACTATGTTGAATAATGTTTTCCAATTCTTTATAAACCTTTCTTTAAAGGGCTTTTTTGTTAGAGAACTTACACGTATGAATGTGAAACTCGATTAAAATAAGCAGGTTAATAACAAAAGCTTCATTATTCACATTATCATAGCTAAAATATTCAAAAACAACAAATATTTAAAATTAAAGAGGGCCTTTTCTTTGATAAACGTACATCATACCATAACTTTTTCACATAACTACAACGCCAGAAGATGTGGGGGACTGTTTACAGGTGCAAAAAGAGCAACTAACATCAACATCCTTCTTAAACCTACAGAGAAAATATTTAACAGGAAAGCATTTATGTATTATTTTGAAAGAGATTTCTTTGACCTTGTTTGTAACAACAACAACAAAAAAACACTTTCCCATTGAAGATGATTAACAAATTTGCACCAATAAGCAATAGAGCAAGACTTGGTGGCAACTTTCTTTAGAAATAGAGAACGAATAGATTTAACTGTATTTTTTTTACATTCTTTCCAATATCATTAATTTTAGGAATAAGGTCCGTATCATGGGAGTTAAAGAATAAGTCCAAATTCTGTTGAGAGTATCTGGAACGATAAAAGTCTTCATAAAACTCTTCACAATAATTAGACATTTCTTTATAATTCTTTAAAACCAGAGGTAGACAAGTCTTTTAACAATATCAAGTCCCTCTGCTTTATATCTCTTAGCTTTTTGAGTTCCAGCTTTGACTAAAATTAATCTAAATATTCAGAGATGCCAAAAAGTACATTTTCTCATAAAACTGAGAATACTGAATGGTTTTATTGATACATTTCTGTATCTCACACCAAAATATAATTGAACAATGGCAAAATATTTATCCAAGTTTACTTTCTTTTATTATGGTATAAATGACAAAAACAAAACAGTATAACAGACATTATAAAGCCAGGGGAACAATGGAGAGAAGAAAGAAAATATAAGAAGAAGAAGGAGAGAGAAAAAGGAACGTGCAATCACAGACATGCAGGACCTTTATATCACTCAAGGATTTTGACAATAGAACACAAGTGGACCGTTTTAATTGCCTTTCTGTTTGTACTATGTTGAATAATGTTTTCCAATTCTTTATAAACCTTTCTTTAAAGGGCTTTTTTGTTAGAGAACTTACACGTATGAATGTGAAACTCGATTAAAATAAGCAGGTTAATAACAAAAGCTTCATTATTCACATTATCATAGCTAAAATATTCAAAAACAACAAATATTTAAAATTAAAGAGGGCCTTTTCTTTGATAAACGTACATCATACCATAACTTTTTCACATAACTACAACGCCAGAAGATGTGGGGGACTGTTTACAGGTGCAAAAAGAGCAACTAACATCAACATCCTTCTTAAACCTACAGAGAAAATATTTAACAGGAAAGCATTTATGTATTATTTTGAAAGAGATTTCTTTGACCTTGTTTGTAACAACAACAACAAAAAAACACTTTCCCATTGAAGATGATTAACAAATTTGCACCAATAAGCAATAGAGCAAGACTTGGTGGCAACTTTCTTTAGAAATAGAGAACGAATAGATTTAACTGTATTTTTTTTACATTCTTTCCAATATCATTAATTTTAGGAATAAGGTCCGTATCATGGGAGTTAAAGAATAAGTCCAAATTCTGTTGAGAGTATCTGGAACGATAAAAGTCTTCATAAAACTCTTCACAATAATTAGACATTTCTTTATAATTCTTTAAAACCAGAGGTAGACAAGTCTTTTAACAATATCAAGTCCCTCTGCTTTATATCTCTTAGCTTTTTGAGTTCCAGCTTTGACTAAAATTAATCTAATATTATATTTTAGCAGCTCCCAACTAGAACCAAAATTATCCTCGGCTTGAGCTTTGTTAAGAAAAAAAATAATCCTAGATATCACAGACCTACAAATTTCCACATCCTCTAATAAAACAGAGTCAAGTTTCCAGTATGAATGATATGTTCTTGAGTAAGAAGATGGGCTACCGAAAGATAAAATTATAGATTTATGGTCAGACAAAGGAGAAGGCAAGATTTCAACTCTATTGACAAAATTGGATAAAGAGTCCGATACTAACCAAAAATCAATTCTAGATCTAAGTGAACCAGAACTGTTAGACCAAGTAAACTGTAAAGCATGAGGATGTTTTTCTCTCCGAATGTCAATGAGGCCAGATTTGACTGTATTTATCCAAGTTTTCTCAACAGGTCAGCATCACACCTGTTCCTTCACCTAGCAGTCATAAGCCACACCCATTAGCTCGCCCATTGGTCAACAGTCCAGCAAAGCCCGCCCCCTGGGTCAGGGGCAATGCCGACGTCATTAAATCCCTGCCAGCCCCGCCTCCTGTTCTGAGAGTTTCTGCACATCCAGCTCGATCATGGCGTTGGGTCATCCGTGTCAGCTGTGCGATAGAGTGCCTCAGTAGTGCGCTCAGACGAGGAACTAACTTGTGACTTCGTTTGACATGTCACCGGACAGCTGAGAACTTATTGCAGTGACAGGACTTAACCAAGAGGAAGAAACTTCGGTTGCCATGTCTCTCCTCTGCGTGAGAGGTGCGTGCTGGTTTAACTCTGTGTTCTGCCTCACTGCATGTGTTTGCGCCTGTCAGCACGCAGACAGACTCCGCAGGTGTGTTGTTTCTTTAAAAGTTCAGCCGCGAGAGCGATGTTTTTAAAACTATAAACGTCTTATTATTTACTTTCTCTGAGACGTTTGCCGTTTTCGTGGAGTAGTATACAATGTCTTTCGATCAAGCAGGCTGAAATGGTGTATAATTAGAGGTTTGCTATAGGTATGCTGTAGTTTGGGGGAAGCAGCTGTTTGGCGTCGTGATGTAATGCAGCTTTGCAGCTCAAACTCTAGATTTCTACAAAATATTGAGGTCTAATAGTTTTTTAATATGGAAAAAAAAAACAATTTGGTGTTGGCGTTATTCAGAATATTATTAAAGTCAATTTAGTAGCAAATAAGGGAAATAAAGAATTAATTTGACTTTTGCGAAAACTTGGAGTGTAATTTGTTTAAAAATACTAAATTGATGATTGGAAATTATAGTGTGTATAATATTGTAAAATTGCATATAATATGATATTTATTATATAATTTTTTAAATATATAATATATGTATGTGTGTGTGTGCATGCGTGTATATATACATTTAAAATATTATCATGTCAATATATTATATATTTTAAATATATATTGTGTAAAATATAGTGTATATGTATGTAAATATAAAGAATTTTGTTTGTATCTTTTAATATATTTAATTAAATTCTGTAGATTCACTTAAGTAATTTTTAATTCATATTTAATCATTATTATTTAGGCCCTACTCATATTTACTTCATTAGTGTGTATATATATATATATATATATATGTATATGTGTGTGTATGTATGAAGAGTTCAGATGCAAAAGCCTCTAAGTGCCATCTGAAATTTTCATCTAAAATGAGCATTTTTATCAGGCTCCTATGTTTAGGTTCAGTAATGGCAATGTATAGGTCCTTTTCTATGCAATTAAGGTGAAATAACTGAATGTAAATATAGGGGCCTGATAAAAATACTCATTTTAGAAGAAAATTTCAGACAGCATTTAGAGGCTTTTGCATCTGATCTCTTCATATGTAAAATTAAAATATAATCACTTTATTAACAAAATACACACATGTAAATACTAATTATATAAAGTAAATACTCATTTATTAAAAATTAATTAAATGAATGGCATCTGTTTACTTATCTTTTTATTTAAAGTAACTTAATCTATAGAATTCTATTGAATCCTATCTATCTATCTATAAACATACACTAACATTTATGATATAATATAAATTGTAATACAATTTATTGATATAATATTAATAGATCATGTTAATTAAATATTTTAAATACTATATTTAGCGATTGATTAACATGCTGTATTTTGTAAATGCCGCTGGCTCATCAGGCCCTCTTGAAGGAAAGCAGATCTGAAGCGTTGTGTGTCATGTGCTCTCATACTCCTTCAGAGACACACATACTCCTTTTATCTTTGGTCACCGGCCAGTTGCAGATCAACATCTCCATCATTTCCTCTCTTTCTTATCTACGCTCAATCTGCTCCAGTGGCAGTGCTTGCTTTGCTGATTGCTGTCTTTGGTGAAAGTGTCTCTGTTTAATGTCCACACAGTGTGGCTTGAAGGCTGAGTGCACTGACTGCTCATCCTCATCTATGAAGAGGTGCAGGCTAATGTGATTTAAACAGTGACTGGGCTGTTTGACAAAAGAAAATACATGAAACAAGCTTTAAAAAGAAGCACATGCGGACTACATGTTCTGTGGAAGAGTTTTAGTTTGAAGCATGAAGTGTGTAAAAGGTGTTTGACTTTCCTTCCTCGTTAAAGGGAACCCATACAGGCCTTTTACCCCCAACGCCTCCTTTCCTCAGGAACTTGTGTTGATGTACAGTGACATATTTGAGGCTATGCAAGTAAAGCAGAAAGAATCAGTGGAGACGAGCAGATTTGCACAGATATAAACATTTGCATAAGAAACACGTTCACCGAGGATCTCCAAACAAGTCAATTATTCAGAGAGACAAAGGAAATGTTTGTGCAGGAACCGGACTGTGATTAAATTCTTCAGCGTGTCTCACAAGAGCTTTTATTTCATTGGTTTAAGGTTTAAAAGGTCACAGCTCTTTTCTCATCACACTTACAGTATCCTCAGATTTCACAAATTACACCTTTTACTCACACGAAATGTGCTTGCAGTTGAAGTTTGGCTTTGTGGATCACCAGTTAGAAAACTTAGAAGCCTTTCTGCATGGTTTCGAATGTGTTGTAGTTTCCTCAGTGTCCTTTCTTATAGGGGTGGGCGCTATACCGGTATGAAAGTGATTGTTGTTCTATGATATTGATTTTGCTATACTGTGGATACCGTTATATATTCATGAATTCAAATTTTGCATTTATATAGTTTTGTTCAATTGGGTATGCATTGCATATTTGAACACAAATGACGATAAAGAGTCGAAGCTGAACGCTTTTGTCAAACACAATAGAAACAATAATCAATCACATAGAGCATCATAACAGACCAAATTAATAGAGCGCAAATCGCCTAGTCCGGTGGTTCCCAAACTGAGGGATCGTGTACAGTCAGCAGATTATTTAGCAAAAGAAACCTCTGCAGGGTGATAAAGACTACACTACGTAATTTTCCCGCTTATCATGCGGCCACTTGACTGATAAGTAAATAATTGAGCGCAAAATATGAATTTGACATATTTTAATTACCTCAACATGACTCGCAGTACCCGCTTGAGCGCTCCGTTATCAGTTGTAGAAGTTGTTGTTGTATAACAATAACAGACCACTAGATGGCACGATTGAAGAATCAGCGTTGTATTCATTGCAGGGAGCCATGTAGAAAAAATATAAATGAACGAGTCAGCAGATTATTTAGCAAAAGAAACCTCTGCAGGGTGATAAAGACTACACTACGTAATTTTCCCGCTTATCATGCGGCCACTTGACTGATAAGTAAATAATTGAGCGCAAAATATGAATTTGACATATTTTAATTACCTCAACATGACTCGCAGTACCTGCTTGAGCGCTCCGTTATCAGTTGTAGAAGTTGTTGTTGTATAACAATAACAGACCACTAGATGGCACGATTGAAGAATCAGCGTTGTATTCATTGCAGGGAGCCATGTAGAAAAAATATAAATGAACGGCGTATGGTTCTGCTCCAAGCATAAAAGTTACAAGTTTGTGAAATGACTTCCAGTGCCAGGTAAACGTAAAGCAGATTATGAATATACTTAAGATTCACAAATACCAAAAACAACGTGTCTACACCAGACCAATAGAACCCAGTGATGTTCTCTGCTGTGGATGCGGCGCGACGCGACACGACACGACAAATCCATGTCAGAAAACTGATGCTGCTTTTTATTTCTAACGAACTCCAGCGCTCTGACACTAAGGACAATTTCAAATATTCATAAGAGAATCGTGAAAAAATTGTTTCCTCAAAAATATTAAGCAGCACAAATGTTTACAACATTGATAATAATCAGAAATGGTTACTGAGCAGCAAATCCGCATATTAGAATGATTTCTGAAGGATCACATGACACTGAAGACTGGAGTAATGATGCTGAAAATACAGCTTGGCACAATAAAAAAATACTTTTCAAATCTATGTCCAATCCCTCACTTTTTTTTTTGTTATATAAGGTTAAAATATTTTGCCTGTAATTTTTTTTTTCTCATATCGCAATATAATATCAATATCGCCTGGACAGTGTAAAATATCGTGATATGAATTTTGGCTCATATCGCCCACCCCTACTTTCTTAAACTTAACTGGAACAGGAGGATTTGAGTATTTGGACACACAAACAGTATTTACAATATGTGTCTGAACCTGATGTAATACAATTGCAAACTTCTCCATGCCAGCATGAGTGCTGCTGTCATTGCACCGAAAAGAAGACAAAAAATCTTGAAAAAAATTAATAATATAATGTATTATGATGAAAGAAATGTTTACAAATGCAAAAGTCTCTTTTGGTCATCAAAGCTGCATTTATTTTGATCAAAAAATACAGTGAAAACCGTAATGTTGCGGAAAAAAATTCTATTTGAATATTACCAAAAATGTAATTTATTCCTGTGATTACAAAGTTGAATTTTCAGCATCATTACTGCAGTCTTCTTCAGTGTCGCATAATCCTTCAGAAATCATTCTAATATGATGATTTGCTGCTCAAGAAACATTTATTATAATTATCAATTTAAAAAAAAGTTGTGCTGCTTCATTTTTCTTAATATAACTAACTGTGATACATCCCCCACCACCCCCCTCTGGATTCTTTGATTAATAGAAAGGTCAAAAGAACAGTGTTTATTTGAAATGGAAATCTTTTTTAACATTAAATATTATGTTTTTACTGTCACTTTTGATGAATTAAATGTGTCCTTGCTGAATGAAAGTATTAATTTACTAAAAAAGCTTATCTAAATGACCTTTTATTACAAATGTATTCAAATATTATTTATTATTTATATTTTTATTTATGGTTTTTAGTATGCCATGTTTTATATTAATTTGTGTATTAATCTTAAATCAATATTAAATACATATTTATATAATATATACATTATAAGGGTGTTGTAATTTTGTATTTATTTTATATTTGTTTATTTAATTTATTTAGATTCTTTTACAGGAGTATAGTTATCATACATAAAATGCCTTAACTGTGTAAAATGTCCACAGTTATCCAAATAACCACGTTTGTCAGTGAAGTGATTTTCTACAGATCTCCCCTTCTCAGTGTAGGAAGCAGTGAACACTGGGTAGGGTGCAGAAGGACAGCCTGAACTGAGCACAGGTTGTTGTATGTACAGTAAGAACTGATGTTGAGCTGATGACATCCTCCAAATATCGTCCTCCGTCATGTATTAACCTAAGAAGCATTCTGGCCTTTCTGACTCACCATCCGCCTCTTTAATCAGGATCACGGTTTTGTTTCTTTATTTATTGCTGTTCAGACA